GCAGGCGGTAAGAAGCATTACAGAACCTTTGAATAGCAGCTGAGCTGGTGCTTTTAAGCAATGACATCCAGGTCACTGAAGTGGAAACTGGTAAAGGAAACAACATTAATTTGTTTTATGCAGTTCTCTTCCTGATACCATCTGCCAAGTGATTACAAACACAGACACTGAGCAAATGATCTATAGTCTTGGTATTTAGTAATATTATTAGACAGTCTATTTTTCTTGGAACTATAAACACATAAATATGCATATTTAGAAAAATTATTTTCACTACAGAAAACTAGCATGGGAAATTATATTTAGTTTCACACTTCTTGCTGTTATTATGCATTTTTATATATCTAGAAAATTTGCTTTGGTAGAGTAGTACAGTATGAAAAGGAGCAGAGTGGGTTTTTCAAATGTTTGATTTAATAACAGTAAACAGATTGAAGGTAAAACAGGGTTACTCTATTACTTCATATATTTCTTAAACAAATATATGTAACGTTTGATATACCAAGTGATGCAATTGATATGTAACTAGATTGTACATTCATTAATATCTTTAAAATAATATTAAATATATATTTATATATATATATTTTTCTATTTTATATTAAAATAGAATACTGTAGAAAATAATAGAAAACAAAAATAAAAAAAACGTTTAACCACCTTTTTTATATAGGCTTCATTTAACTAGCAAATAGGTCATTGGATAAAGTACTGTATAAATTGTTCCATTTCAAATCCACATATTTGCTAGCATTTCCACTTCTGTATGCATTTATCCAATTGTTTAGAGCAAGGTGTTTTCCATTGGTTTGAAAAAAAATCGTTTTCATTTGCATAAACAACAAGAATTTTACAGAAGTAGGAGCAAAGATACCTTGGGCATAAAACTGGAGGGTTTTTTCCTTAAAAAAGAGAAATAAATATTTATACTTTTGATGAGAAGAAAACAAAATATAAATATTTTGAAAACTAAACAATTATGGTGCTTAAGCAAGTAGAGATTATCCTGTCCATATCCCGGATGCAGAATCCTAACGTGCACTATTAATTTGTCAGTCTGTTGTTTCAACAAACAGCTTGTGCTTGCCTTTGGAAGTTGTTCACATACAAGATTCAGGATCTTGGATTCATTTTAATCTTGGGCTTCGTAGTACTCTGACCTGATTTCTACTTTGCTGACATTTGACTAGTAGTCCTACCTTTGAAGGTAGTCCTCAACTTACAAACAGTTGTTTAGTGACCGTTCAAAGTTACAAAGCAGTGAAAAAAGTAACTTACGAGTTAACAATCATTGCAGCATCCCCATCATCATATGATCAAAATATGGATGCTTGGCAATTGGCATGCATTTATAACTGGCTAGGAAATTCTGGATGTTGAAGTCCAAAAGTCTTAAAATTGCCAAGGTTGAACACCCCTGGTTTAGACTAAGAACCCAAGGTTTAGATTAAGACATCTTAGACTAACAGCCTAAGATCCAGCATCAAGAGTGGCCTGAGAGGTACGTTTAGAAAATTTACAAGCGGGGTCAGTCTTCTATCATTATCATTCCCAAGCATGTAATACTTATTAAAATCCTGCAACCTCTCAATTTAATGCACCTTAGTTTAGCACAGTTTGGATTTCATTGACAGATTCTGCTAGATGCGCAGGGTTCAATAGATACTGCCCAGTTCCCAGTCCTTTGGAAGTTCCTCTGACTCTTGGACCAGCTCAGTCTATAAAAGTAAGTGATTGTTCTGGCTGTAGTGCTTATCCTCATTTTGTTGAATTTGTCTTTGGCATGCCAGTCTACTACACTTATAGTTGACCAAATGTCTAGTGTTTGAAATTGCTCCATGGCTTCAGCTCAATTTTTGGGCTTTTGGGGGATGGGAGTTGTATGAGAGTCTTGTTTGGCTCAAAACTTCACTTCAAAGACATTCAGCTTTACCAGGTGACTGTTTCCTCCATTAGTTTGTTAAATCAAGGGTTTATTGTTTGCTGAATATAAACTAATCAAGATTTGTCTAGTCTGGTTAATTGGATAGTGTCACTGAATTGAGTGTAACTCCTGATAGCTATATATACCATTCTTGGCAATTTGTTTTAACTGCAGAATTATAGGTCTTCCAAGGATAATCCAGTATTTTCTATTATTAGTGTTATTATTATAGATATAATCAGAAAAAGAAAAGACAAATATGGAAAAACAAATTATAAATGGAAGACTCGCAAGGACTGTAAAAATAAGGGAAAAATGAAAATACATGTGAGTCTGAATGTGTGTGTGCTGTACAGTGTAAATCAATATTTTGTAAATCACTATTTGAATCAGATTTAATTTGGTAAATTTAAAAAAGGAGAAAACATAAATATTATAATATATATTATACTACTTGTTAGGAGAAACTAAAACTTTGGATGTTCTGTAAATCCATTTGTGAAGTTAGAATCAAAAAACAGTTTCTAAGTTGAATTAATTCTGTATCAGATTTTATTTTTTAAATATGAAGTTAGTTTGATGTTGATGTATGTATACCCATTACTTAATTTGGCATTTTCTATCAAAGTTATTATTCCTATTTTCCAATAAGAAGCATTCCAATAATTTCTTTAATCTTGTCATCTGTCTCTTCTTCCTCCTTCTCCTTCTCACCCGCCCAATTCTTGAATATAATAAGTTGTAGTCCAGTATTCACTTGTATCACAAACCCAGATCTTCTACATATTGTCTCAAAGGATTAGTCTGTCTTTAGTTTAGGACTGATGAGTTTTGCTTGCATTCTATGATACTCTTAGTAATCGTTCTATAGAATCTGTAATTAAAAACCTCTGACTTGTTCTTTTACTCTTTGTCAGCGTCTGCCTTTCACAATCATATCTTACTACTTAAAATTCATTACTTAACTTTTAAGATAATAATTTAATAATAATAATTTTCATTATTATTTTAAAATTTTGTTTCCTTATACACTTGTTGACTGAATTGTTCTCCATCTCATGGTGTTATCAATTTTATTTTGAGGCTGTCCACTGAGCGACATCCATATGTGGAATTACATTCTTACTGCTTAAATCAGACATTGGCGATGAATAAAACATTTTCTTCACAAAACGTTATTAAATACTTTTCTATATAATTATGTTCATCCAGTTCAAATCCTCTTGTGATTCCCCATTCCTCCATTCTACCAAGTTTTGCGTTAGTGATACCACTTTTTTGATGTTGCATTTAGCCTTGTAGTTTGTAATAGGAGTCTTTGAGATATTTTTACTAAATATCAACAAATTTTAGCAGATGTTGTCTATGGGTTCTAACACAGCATAAGCTTAGTAAACTTCTTTTTGAATGTCATTTCCATGCCATTCCTCGAAATGAATTTGAATTAAAATTACCCAGAGTTCTTAAATTGATTTAAAAGCATCTAATTTGGTACACCTCATTTCCATTTTGACAGTTTCAGGTTTTCCTTGGTTTGTGATTCTTGCATTCTGCAGTTTCTATGTATGTCAAAAAAAATTATCTCTGTACAGTACTGGCATTATCAATGAAAATACTTTTTTTTGGCTCTGGTCTAGCCACATCATCACTTCTGCATCTATTCATGGAATGTTAATATTTAGTATTCTTTAGTGTTCTTCAGTATTTCAAGGAGTGCCTTCCAACACAAAATAGGTGTCAGCTTGATCAGTTTAGCATACAATAATCTCTGTAATTATGTGTTTTTGCATTATTGTAATCAACTTTAGGAGATTCTATTCCTAATTTTTATATACAACTATCTTTTTGTATAATTCTTGACTTACAGACATTCATTTAGCAAACGTTCGAAGTTACAATAGCACAGAAGAAAGTGACTTACAACTGATCCTTGCATTTGCAGCATTGTCACAGTTGCATGATCAAAATTTGGGCTTTTAGCAACCAGTATGTATTTATAATGGTTGCAGTGTCCTGGGGTCATGTGATCAGCATTTTGACCTCCTACCCAGCTTCTGGAAAACAAAGTCAATAGGAAAAGCCAACTGCAGTGATTTGCTGAAGAATGGCAAAAATGGTTGTAAAATAGATTACAATTCACTTAACAACCTCCTTGCTTAGCAGTGGAAATTATGGTACTAATTGTGATCATAAGTCAAGGACTATGTGTAGTCTCAACTTTTTTTTGATACGTGTAATGGCTATGAAATTTGATTGTGTGTATTTTATTTTTAAAAAACTGTTTATAGTCTATTTTAATTTTTATTATTATTTTGTCTATTCAACAAATAAATAACTTTCCATGTCTTGTATATTATAGTACACTATTTCATAGTTTCATAGTAAGTTTCAATATTTAGAAAACTGTTCTAAATTACATTTTTAAAAACGTTTGGGTAATGTTAGATTCACCAAATTAGAAGGAAATCATACAAAAAGACCATATAAATCAGATGTCAACTAAACATCCTTCAAGAAGAAGTCAGAAAGATGTTGAAAATTACATGGCCTACTTTGGATGAGAGAGTTTAAGCATTTAGTATTGGAGAGGATAATGTATGTATTAACCAGACAGATAGTCTTTACCCATCTTTGCCTTCTAGTAGTATTGAATTTCACTTGTCATTATCCAAAACCAGCAGGTTTTTAAATATTGGGGTGAATGAGAGTATAATTTAATATGACTTGATATTGCTAGTTTTGAGAAAGCTGAATCATAGAGTGCCATTTGGTTTTCTAGAATTGTCTTTCATTGTGCAATGTATAGTTAAACATATGTATATTTCAGTATCCAGGAAAATACATAAAATTATTGCTTATATAAACAGTATTCAATGTGCCACTTTAAATGCTAATTGTTAACTTGTCCTTTTCAGCAGTTCTCACTTTAAAACACACTTCTATTTTTATTGTTGAGCTGCTAATGCTTAAAAAGGTGATAAAAAACATTTAAAGACTACAGTTCTTTAAAATGAAATTTATTGGGTACAGTCAAGTCCACTGCATCTTTAACTCCCCCATCTCTCCTTTTCCTCAGGGCATCTGAGCATAAGTGGCTGAACACCAGATCATTACAGGTAGTCCTTGTTAACAACTGTCTTATTTAGCAACTATTTGCAGTTACAACAGTGATGAAAAAAATAAGTTTATGACCAATTCTCTCATTTATGACTTCACAGGTCTATAAAGCAAAGGAAAACTAAAGTAAGAATATAAGCACAATTATGGTTTCATTTAGTAGTAGCTCCACTTAATATCCAAGTTGTCCATTCCAGTTGTGGTCATAAATGAGAAATACTTGTACACAGAATAGATGTATATTATCTAAACTTACATAGTGTACAGTTAGACAAATCTGTCAAACTTTGTTTTTCTCCTCATTTTTTTAAAAAATGGCAAGCATACATATTTTAAAAAAGAAAATAATATATACAATATGTTGGAGATATTAAATTATTACAAGTATTTTAAACTTTAAAGAGAAATATTTATCTGTGTGCACATTTTATAATTTTCCAAGATGCTACACTATAATTCCTTAAGCATTCATATCATTCATATAAAGTAGAGTTAACAATAATGCCAAATTTTTAAAAAGCATTATATATGAATCAGTTCTTTGCATGCTCGTTCATTCAAATCACATGATTTGCAAGTGTTAAATTCCATTTGTTTCCTTTCAGTACCATAAGAGAAATCTGGAAATAGAATAGAAATTATGCCACATTTTCATCTGTGAAATTCTTGGATCAGCTTTATTTTCAAGAATGCCTTTGAGATTGAGATGAACATATCACTTGCCAGAAAAAAATTAAAACAATGAATACTACATCAGTGTTTAGTTTGGAAATGTTCCCTGACCTTTGGAAGGACAAAATGAACAGAAATATTAGGGAATACATGGAAGAAAGGGGAAAGAATACATTGCAGATAGTATTCTGATAAATCTGTGAATGGTCAAGCTCTCTTTTGCAGCGGTTTTACAAGAACACCCTTAAATGCTCTTAATATTTCCATTGTATCCACCAGATAAAAAGTTGAGGACCTGCCTTGAAACTATTACATAGTTTCTATTTAACTATTACATAAAAATTACATAGAATGCAGTAATAATACCACAAAATTGTTTTGTTTGGTTTTGTTTCATTTTTGAACCAATCCAAGCTAGTGATGTCCTGAATTCTTCTCCATGCTGCTGCGAGAGTCCAGGCTAGGGAAAATTCCTCCTCCTTTGTTATAAGGGCTGAGTCTGTCAAGCTGATAAGACCTGCCTCTGTTGTCATTGCACCCAGTTTTCGACTCATTAGGGAAGGATGTGTCTCTAAGAACTGTAGCTAGTTGCTACTTGAAATAACATAGACCAACAAAAATTAAATATCAGCTGCTCCTGGGGATCCGGTGGAGCCTGTGCCATCGCGGAGAGCAGGAATCCGCTCTCCTACAGCGCCGGGGCTTCGGCGCCAGGACGGCAACACAGCTAGTGATGTCCTGAATTATTCTAGGTCACACTGCACATCTAGAGTTTTCTTTTTCAGTTTTAGGGCAATGGCTTTGGGAGATGTTACTATCAGTCCCTTGCCATACCCTGATTATGTGATCATACCCTGTTAACTCTGGAGTTCTTTTTACCTGTTCCTACCACAGGAAGGGAAGCCCTATTCAATCTCCCTTGTAGCTGAAAGACCCATTGGATTACAGAAGGAATTTGTGATGCTTCTGAAATTCTGATGCAAGGTTTGACTGAGGCCTTGATTATTGCTTGGATTGAGCACATGGCAAAGGCCTTGGATCACATTGTACCTGAGTCAACAGTGTTCATGGATCCCTGTGGGCCTCTTGATTTTTAATTTCTCAAGAAGCCATTGATGGATCTCAACATTTTTCATTTCTTTCCAATCTTCCCTTGTTGTAAAAAGTTAAAGGGAGATTGGCAGGCTTGCTGTTCCAAAGGTCCCCAGAGGAAGAAGATATTTGGATCTTTTTTCAGTTGGGTTTCAGGCCAGATTATTGCACTGCTAGTGGTTGACCTTGAACAAGTTTAGGATAGGGTATGGCATCCATGCTGATTCTCTTTGATCTCTGAGTGGCTTTTCAATATAGTCAGTCATGGTATCTTTCAGGAGCGACTCAAAATATTGAAAATAGGGTGTACTTTTTTATGGTACATTCTCATTTCATGGTACATAGTGCTCATTTCTTCTGAGGCCAGTTCCTTTCAGTATTGATAGATACTGTCCAAGATTCAGTCCTAGATTCTCGGATGTTTTGAGGCTTGAGTTTCTCTCCGTCCTATTTAGCATCTACTGGAAATTTCTGGGTGAAGTCATTCATCAGCATAGGTCTAAATACAACCATTATACTGGTGGTATTTATACAGTTCTGCCCCAGATTGTACAAATGTTTCCTTTTGAGGTTCTTTTTCAGTGCCTGAAGGCTCTGGGACTCTGAGTAGAAGTAAGATCTAATTTAATCCTAGAAAACCAAGAGATTGTAGGTTTTAGGGCCTCCCAGTTCTGAAGATTTTCTATCTTTGGCTCTGGGTGGGATAGCACTCCTTCAGACAGAATTGGTGTGCGATTTGGAGATTCTTCTGAGAAGCGAGTGGCAGCCAAGGCCAGCAAGACCTTTGTACAAATCCATCCATCGGTTGCATCAGTTTCTATTCAACAATCACTCATGCTTTAGTTATCTACTTTATGTAACTTTACTTTGGATTACCGCAATGTACTCTATGGCAGGGGTTGCCAACCTTTTGGACCTCAGGGACCACCAAACTCATAATTTTAGATCCCAAGGACCACGAACTGGTTCTGTGGGTGTGGCCTAATTTGTGGGTGTGGCTTGGTGGTCATGTGACTGGCTGGGCATGGCTTGTATGTGAATATTATAAATATTTATATAAATATTGAATTTTTTATAAAAAAAGAGCAACTTTTATCCAAAATCAGGCAAGGCAGGCAGATTGAGTTGCTCACAGATTCATTCAGAAATCTGTCTATCTTCCATTGGCTAGCTCAGTCTGTCACATAAAATTTGCTTGCAAGCAAATTCATAAAATTTGCTAGCAAGCAAACTCACAAAATTAACTCATAACACACCATGCATGTAAATATTGAATTTTTTATTTTAAAAAAGAGCAACTTTTACCCAAAATCAGGCAAAGCAGGCAGGCAGATTGAGTTGCTCACAGAATCACAGATTCATTCAGAAATCTATCTTTCTGCCATTGGCTAGCTCAGTCTGTCACATAAAATTTGCTAGCAAGCAAACTCACAAAATTAACTCAAAACACACCATGTATGTAAATATTGATTTTTTTATAAAAAAAAGCAACTTTTATCCAAAATCAGGCAAAGCAGGCAGATTGAGTTGCTCACAGAATCATTCAGTGATCTATCTAGCTGCCATCGGCTCTATGGGATTACATTTGAAAGCTGCAACTGGACATCAAGTAACCAGAAAGATGGATTTTCCCCATGATAATCTGTCCCCAACTTGCAAGCTACCGATCTATTATGAAGTCACTTTTCAGAGAAAACAATCCCATTTTCTGCATAAATAATGTTTCTATATGACTATGTTTTAAGAGGAAGAAAAGAACTGTATTGTTTTGTACAGGAGTCCCCAACCCTTGTATGAGCCATTTAGAACCGGGCCATCCTCCCTTGCACAAGCAGCAGGCTAGTGTGTATGCACACATTCCATTTGCACAAGTGGCAGGCATGCATGCCCGCTGTTCCCACAAATAGAATTGCGTGCATGACCATTTGCTGGCCTTTCGTGCAGAATCATCCCCCCTCTCCCGCAACTGGTCGCAAAACCAGAAAGATTGGGGAACTCTGCTTTAATACATTGCATCTTATATTGGGCCAGTTATAAATAAGCAATCAGCATTGGGCTGTATGTAAATTTAAGTCTTTCTCATTTGATTTTGGCTGAGTTTAATTTGCATAGGCTGTCTAAATTAAGAATGTATGCTCATGACTGAGGTGTCTGCTTATCCAATCGTAATAGATGAGGCTCATCTTCTTTGGCAAGAAGATGTAGACAGATTACTTGGAAAGATCAAAGCTATCATTCATTTATTGAATGCTTGAGCATCCTCGTGTCAGACTTTACCTCAGGTGTGTCAATACATTTTAACAGTTCAAATAGTCAACTTAAGAGTTTAGGAATTTTCTGTCAGGTAAGATTTTTACAAACATGGCTAGATACAGTGCTTTATTGTGGACAACAAAGTCATAAATGTGGAATATCTCATACACAGAACACAAAAATCAAGTACTCTTTCTCTTTCTGTCTGACTGCAACTGATCAATCTAGAACGGGGTGTCAAACTCAAGGCCCATGAGCCGAATCCAGCCCATGGGGTGCTTAAATCTGGCCTGCAGGGCTGGCCTGGAAATAGCAAAGGACTGGCCCACGGTGCCTATGGCAGCCAAAACGGGGCCCGGGGGCCCGAATGCGGCCCCCACTGTCTGTTTTCTGCCTGGACGGCCTCCTGCAGCACTTTGCCAGCCAGAACTGGCTGTGGGTAGCCACACTCATTTTGGCCGGCAGAGTACTGCAGAGTACTGTATTTTCCAGGCAGGAAAACGGGCTGTTGGAGAGGAGGGGCTGCACCCTATTTTGGCCAGCAAAGTACTGTAGGAGGCCAGCCATCCCGTCTCTCCTCCACCTGGGAGGAGAACTACAGGGCTGACCCAGCCCTCGAAGAAATCCAGTTTGATATCCCTGATCTAGACTCTTCCCTGTTGCCCTTTCAAGGCAACTGACTTATTTCTCTCTGGTTTAAAAATAATAGATTCCTGCTTCACCAACTTCAGCCTTTATACCTGGCTAATAAAAGCTGCTTAAACGATTGACTTAATTTTGGAGTAAAGTTCTCCCTTAGAGGAAGTTTGTTTTTTAAAAAATGTCAACTCCTAAAACATTTTGTATACACGTTTTATAGTTGACAACAGAAAGAAGGGAGGGAGTTTCAAAGAAGAGGGAACAGTGTAGAATCGAAAGTACATTCCATTGATATTTTCTTCAGGACTGATTAGATGGCTGAAGCTTCTGCCACAAAAAAATCTAATTGGAGAGTATGATTGATAACTCTTGGCTATGGATGTTTTTTGCTGGATGATACACCCAGAGGTGTGGGTGGGGGAAGCAGGATCAAGGGTGACAGTGAATTACGTATCTCAGAGTTGGCTCCA